TTTATAATAGTTAAGAGTTAGATTTACTACTTAACATATAAAATTGTTATATAATTTAGAGACCAAATTATGTTTGATCATAACTAATACTAAAATTATAAATGATTAAGAAAAGTTTAGATAATTATAGATTAATAGTATAGAAAATTATGATTTATATGCTATTATTAATGGATAGAATTTAGGCTTTTGTACTACTAGTAATATATTTTAAAAAATTCATAGCATAATCAAAAATAAATAAATTTTTACAATATTATACTCAAATAATTATTGAATCTTATATTATACAAAAATATTATTTTTATTAACTTTTATTATATAATTAAAAAATATTATATAATCTTAACTCTGTGGCTTATTTAACAATAATAAATGTACAGCACATAGTACACTATTACAAGTTACTTTATACTTCACTAAAAAAGAATTGTTAGTTGTATACTTAAAATATAATAGAATAGATGTTAATAAATATATAAAAAAAATTTCAAACTTTGTTGAAACTGCAGAATATGAGTCATGAATATGACCAGTTCAACAATTCATACACAAAGCATATAATTGTAAGCAACTGCAAGCAGTAGTTGTTCACTTATAACAAACTAAACAGTAATATTGAACATGCTTTCTTTTAAGTTGTAAAGTTGCAGAATCATTCCAGAGACTGTTAAGATTGTGTTTATTGTTATTATAATCTTGTTTCTTTTTTTTTAGTTCAATTACTTATCATTTCATTTGAATAATACTCAAGAATTAATATTGCTAATTGTTTATAGAAGTCTATATGCCTCATATTTTCTTTTTCTAGAACAAATTGACAATATGCAGAGAAACTATTGGCTTCTGTAATTGAAAAATAAAAAGCAAGAATCTGATTTTCTGAACATTTTGTTATAAGCACATCATAATAAGAAAGTGTATTATTGCATAGATTATTAAGTATATCAATGGCTGACCTGTATTTATTAAAGTTATCAAAAACAACAGACTACAAAAAAGTCACAACTTCATGATTTTTGATGTATCTTTTTATTTTAGTTTTTAAATTAGTTGTTGAACAACTAGCTAAAACTACATGATCCTTGTGATTATGAATAGAACACAAAACAAGATTAACACCATCTAACTTTCCAATCTGGCTACAATATGATTTATATTTATTTTTAAGCATATCTATAATGTCAGAAGAAATATTTTTGGACCAATAATGATGTTTTTTATTTGTAATATAGAATATAGCCTATGCTTAAACAAAGTAACACATGTGTCTACACTTTCAAACCATGAATCTGCAATGATTGTTCTACTACTATTAAACTATGGCTTAACTAATCACAGCATAGTTGTAACTGTTGGCATATAATTATTTAAAAATTTTTTTTTTATAGAAAATTCAGGGAGCTCTTCAGGATCTAAATATAAAAGTAAATTGGTTCAGGCATCTGTGATAGTTTTAAATTTGCAACCTATCAAATAGAGTTTTCTTAGTATCTTTTATTAAAAAGAGTCTTTATTTACTTTACCCATTTACTAACATATGGATTTATTAATATAAAGATAGTCACTAGGCATAATTGGCTTAGAAAGATTTTCATTAAATGCATTATGGTATTCCTAGCCAAAAAAATAAGGATCATCATTTTTTTTGATATCAGTTAATGTTAAATATTTAATAATATCTTGAAATTGCTTATGTAACATATACTTTTCAAAACACAATGTAACATCACTAGTTTCTTGTTTTACAGACCAATAATTACAGACATCAGAACAATGTACATATGTCATTATTGTTAAAATACCAACAAAGTGCATGAATTCCATCCAAGTTAAATTGTTCTAGGATCATTCACTTTCATGTACATATTTGTTGGTAGTTGGTATCACAGTTGACATAATATAATCAACTGGTAAAAAGTATTCAAAAAATTGTCTAGATAATGCTAATGCAATATTAAAGATATGTATTACAGGATGTCTAGAATAAGAATGGTTTATTTGATAGGAATCAACAGTAACAACATCATTTATCTACATAATTCCACTTTCTTTACAAACATCCATCTTCTTATTTTCTTTATCTTTACTTAAAACATTAATTTCAAATTCTTCTTATTCATTCATTATATCATTCTCTTCATTCTCTTCATTTAAATTATTATAATAATAGCCACAAACTTCATATGATTAACTGAAACCTTAATTTTCAAATTCAGATTTGCATCAAGTCTAATTATCTACTAATTGTTACCAAGAACTATCTCCAATACTGTAGCAAAAAACCTCTTGGTTTTCCATATCTCTCCTAATATTGAGTGACCAATTTCCTCTTCTACAACAGTACCCAAAACAGATACTTTAACTCCTACCTTTATATTTGCTGAAATACACCCTATATTCAAAGTTGATATAAAAGGATTTTTTGAAAAAAAAAAAATTGTAAAGAAAAAAAAAAAAAAAAATTTATAAAAAAAAAAAAAACCTAAACTAAATAATGTTCGTAACTATTCTACCAACTTAAATCCTTTTGATAAGTAATTATAAGTGTTTTTATCATATGCCTTTAGTGTCTTTATCATGCACCTTTAGTTTTGTATACCTATTAACCAGTTTTTTCTTCTTCCTCCTACAAAAAAAAACTTTATCGAACTTATTTCATGAGTAAAAATTGGTCTATTTTTTTTTTTTTTGCATTATTTATATACTCACAATTACATCATAATTACGATTTAAACATAATTTAACCAAACTATAATTGACTTTAAACTTGATTACGTTCTACTTGTGATTTACACAATTTGTGTCACTCAGGTGATACCGGAAATTACGCTTAACCTTATTCAGATATGTGAAACAAAGTCTACGTCAAAACTTTTTTTACATGTTGCGCAACTTTCAAAAAATATATTATTGTAATATAAGCTTGAATGATTTTATTGGTTAGCAGAAAAATGCCTTTATTTGCTGTCACATTTGAGTACAAAATATTACCGGTAGTACACCTAAATCCTATCCATTAAAAATAATTAATAAATTATTTAGTATAGATTGCGATTTAATTGATAACGATAATGAATCTTTTCGATAAACAACATTAGTAAAACTGGGCACTAATCTAATTGGATACGTATAAATATTGATAAAATTTACATATGTTATCGATATATATGGAAGTTCCTCACAGCGGGGTTGTACACTATGGATCAATCTAAACTTTAAGGGACCGGGTACTCCAGTATTTAAAGATTTACTAAGAAAAACATTATACAAGTTTTTTCTAATGAGATATAAATAGCACCGATGTCATTATCAAGCTAAGACCACATCATAACGATATTAAACCTAATAATATTTGTAGTTTTATAAAAAAGAAATATTATTGAATCTAAAAGCAATATTTATTAAAATAATGTTGCATGAATGATAAATCTTTGCAGTAAAAGATTATAAACATAAGATTTTTTATGATCTCAAAAATAGGACGACTATATTGCCACGAAGTAACGCCCTAGAACGTTATCTCGGAAATCAAAGTTTTTATTGTCATGCATTTTAATTTTTAATGAATCCAAAAGAAGTGATATATTTTAATTTTAGAATAACGCCTTGGGCCTTATTTCAGCAACCCGAAACTTAATGCTTAGCAGATGTAATTAAGATGGAACGATTTACTGACTACTTCCGTCATTATTTCTACGAGTCCACCAATATCACCAAACTCATGGATTGTCTTTTAATCTTTTTATCAGAATATAAAAATTTGTTGCACATGCAAGTAGGATTTATTTTTTTTTGCAAGCAACTTTGCACATCTTGCTTGCATTTCAATGTAAATCTTCGTTTAAATTAATCGAACTACAGATACAGAATCATAGAGTTTAAAAATAAAAAACTTTCGAATTCTGTGGATTTTTAAACTCTATTTTTCTATTTGTGTAAAAACTTTCTAATTCTGTGAATTTTATACTTTATTTTTCTATTTGTGTGAGTTTGCGATTTACGGCGTTCATCTGTGGTGATACAAACAAAAAAGATGTAGATCTTGATTATGCCGATTCTGAATCAGCCCGACATGTGCGTAAACAGGAAAAAACAAAAATACGTACACGAAATCGAGTGTTTAAATCTGCTTTACAACATTCATCAAAATAATAGACATGAAATTTCACTAATAGAAACTTGTTATTTTCCTCATAATTATCATAATTATGAATATATACATAGTCAATTTTGAATCAATTTTAATGTCCTACGTAGCTAAAATACGTACGTATTCGCAAAAAAACAAGATTTACATATGAATATATAAATATGTACGCCGTGCATTCATGCGTGCATACGTATTTACCGATAATTATTAAGAATCTTTAATTAGATCTAGACTAAAACTCTTCTAACTAATTAAATGTATATATTTATGATGTCAGAATTGTAGGCTACTCATTTTATACTCTTAACGTTAACGATTAGCGTTAGGATTTGTACTACGCATAGATCAGATATGTACTAGCATTCTACGAATGCAGTATTAATAATAGAGCCCGTACCAATATATGGTTTTAATATATTACTGTGCCCAGAAATTACGGTGCCCTAATATGAACGCACGCACAAACCAATCATAAGTACTTCGCCCTTAAAATATCTGACATAATGAATAGAATTTGATTCTTTTTATCCAGATTAAGTTTTTTTTTATCACAAATTATTTTTTCTAAGTATGATGTGTATGTCCAATAAAGAATATTAACTGAACGTAATATTGATGCAATATGTTAAAAAAAAGTTATTCCAATTATTGATGAGTTATCTAAAAAAGAACGCATTTACAGTAAATGCACATAACTCGACTATATGACGACATCATATAATCTATATAACCCACAGTTGGTTATGACGACATTTTTAATCTATATACTTAGCGTCAATGTGAAAATGTTTTCTGAATATATCAGGCGAGTTTTTTATTTTTGGGAAGTGCCTATATAACCAGAAGTATGCATAGTATTTTTATACGCATTTATTAAAAAACTTTTAACAAAGTTTTATTAATATTGTACCATTAAAGCAGATGTTTATTATTATTATTATTTTCGTCAGTTCGAATAAAGTTATCAAAACTTTAAATAAATCTCATCCTAATTTAAGATCGTTCACACAATGATGAGAAAAAATAAGATGTTCGCCAAGTTTGTTATTAATAGGAAGAATAAATTCATATTCAACATTAATCCAAAATTTTCTTATATAAACGACCCATCGAACTCCTCCCTCAATTCAACAATACAATTCCTCAATAATTAAAAAAAAAATAAATCAATTTCTACTTTTCTTGAACGTAAAAAAAGTATAAAAAGGAAATATTAATTCTTAATTCATAATCAAAAAATAAATAAAATGAAATTAAATATCACTACATGTTTGATCCTTCTCCTTTCTACCTCTATCACAATTGCTGCTCCATCACGAAGAGGTTTTTTTTTGAATGATTTTATTAAATAATTAGTATTATAATAGTTAGCATATATTAACTTGCTTAATTCTTATTTTTAATAATAGCATATTATACTAGATCAAAACACGGCGAAGAAATACTTTGTAATTGTTTTTTTTTTTAATCAAACTCAATGTTTTTAATATCAATAACTTATATATTAATATAATTCTTATTTTAACGGAAAAGATGGTAGAGGTGAAGAAGATCATGATGGTAAAGATGAAAAATACGGTGGTTATTCTAAAAATGCTGTAAATAAAAAGCATGATGAGGATGAAGATGACTACAGTTACGATGAAAAAAACCACGGCTATGGCAAAGATGATGATCAAGAATATAAAAAACGTGATGTAAGTAAAAAGCGTGGTGATGAAGATAATGGTAATGATAAAGAAGACCACGACTATGGTTATGGTAAAGGTGATGATGAAAAAGACGAAGAATGCGATGACGAAAAAGATGATGAAAAAGACGATAAAGAACATGGTGACAAAAAAGGTGATGACAAACATAAAAAGCGTGGTGAAGGTGACAAAAAAGGCAAAGAACATGGTCATGATGAAAAAGACGATGAAGGACATGGTGATGACGAAAAAGACGATGAAGGACATGGTCATGATGAAAAAGACGATGAAGGACATGGTGACGACGAAAAAGATGAAGGGCAGCATGGTGACGACGAAAAAGATGAAGGGCATGGTGACAACGAAAAAAATGAATGGCAAGGTCACGACGAAAAAGATAAAGGACATGGTGACGACGAAAAAGATGAAGGACACGGTGACGACGAAAAAGATGAAGGACATGGTGACGACGAAAAAGACGATAAAATAAAAATACGGGGTGAATATGACGAAAAAAACGATAAAGGAAATAGCCATGACGAAAAAGAAGATAAAGGACATGGTCATGACGAAAAAGAAGAAGGGCATGATCATGACGAAAAAGATGAAGGGCATGATCATGACGAAAAAGATGAAGGGCATGGCGACGACGAAAAAGATGAAGGGCATGGCGACGACGAAAAACACGAAGGACACGATGACGAAAAAGACAATGGACACGGTGATGACGAAAAACACGAAGGACACGATGACGAAAAAGACAATGGACACGGTGATGATGAAAAAGACGATGGACACGGTGATGATGAAAAAAACGAAGAACACGGTGATGACGATAAAGATGATAAACATAAAAAACGTGGCGAAAAAGGATATGGCTTTGGTAAAAATAAACGTCGATTGGCGAATAAGTGGTAAAACACTGTAATATCACTAAGACATAACATTTAGCCATGAGTCATAAAAAATAAATCTCACTGTAATGGATATAATTGTAAATTATTAAAGGATTTTATATATGCTTTACTATCTTACTACTGTATTTAAAAATAACGTAAAAATCAAATCTTGTAAAATAGATTTTTGTTGAAATTTTTTTGTTAAAATTTTTTTGTTAAATAAAATTTTTCTTTTTTCATAAATGTGTTAAAATATAGAACGAATCAAAATTATTATGACATTACGTCAATTAAAAGTGAAGTAATACATTTTGTTTACATATGGGGATCTTTGCTATGAAAATCGCCCTTCGACATTTTCCAATCAGGATAATTCGGACAAACTTAGACCAACAGTTCTTACTTTCAGTAAAACATCTTTTGCCTTGACTGTTTCATTGAATTAATAAAGGCAAATAATGATTTGCCGCAAGTAAGAGCCGGTATGTTGGTCTAAGTTTGTCTGAATTACCTGATCGGAAAATATCCAAGGGTGATTTTCATAGCAAAGATCCCATATAATTATTTAGTTCTGTTTTGGTAGTTTTCTAATATTGTGAGAAGATTGTCACCAAAACACAGCTTATCGATGTTTTGTCGATTCGGAATCGACGCCTGTCATTTTTGAGTTTTCACCGATGTGGGACCCGGATGAGCCCGGATGGACCCTGACCGCTTGGGGGCCATATCCCAATTAGGAAAAGATCGATCGCATC